CACACACACACACACACACACACACACACACACACACACACACACACACACACACACACACACACACACACAACAATCTCTCTTGCACACGGGATGAAGAACACGCGAAAAATACATGTGCATGCAGAGACACAAACAGACAAGTAGAGAAGTGCAAGTAATGAAGCTGTCAATCGTCAGAACCAGTAGTGGCACGAACATGCAAGTAGTCACTCAATGGAACCGATCACAATCGCGATGAAGAACAACTTAATAAGTCATGAAGCACTCAGTGGTGTCACAGAATAAGCAGCGAGTACTAAACAGAAGTAAGACAAAAGTAGAGAAGCAGTAGAGAGAAGAGGAGGATGGTTTCTTTTACTTTGCAACAAAAGAAAGTTTACACTTTATACCCGAAACCAGCTGATTACACCTATTTCTGCAAATGCAATAGACTAAGTGCCTTTTCAGAAAAAAAAGAAGGGGAAAAGAAGCTTCCCCATATTCGTGGGAGCAATACAACAGCAATACAACAACAACAGCAAGTAAACACAACAGACTAAAACACTTCGTCGGTTCGGGTGTATAACAATAAAAATAAAAAAAATTATCTACATTTGTATGATTCATGGGGGAAAAAAAAAGCAAAATCTCGCTTTATAAAACAACAATCTGTGTCTTTATAAAGCAAAAATAGCTATTGTTGTCTTATAAAACTTTCTATTGTCTACAGCTAACGAGAACTTGTCTTTGAATGTAATCACGCATTTTGTTAACGCGATTGAAAATGTCAAACCTAATGAATCACAAAATTCTTTATCTGCTAAATAAGGTAAGCAACAGTCGCAGAGGTTTTTTCCATCCTGACGGAAGGGTTCGAGGGTAAGAGGGGGGAGAGGGGGGAGGGGGGGGGGGACGGCGACATGGGGAAAAGCCTCCATGTGCTTCTGCAAGATCGATGAGACATGGAAGACTTTGGCATTGACTGATCATCCATAGAACGTTTCTAGTGTGTGGGTGCGGTTCAAAATGCTTCTAGTGTGTGGGTGTGGTTCAGAAAGCTTCTAGTGTTTGGGTGCGGTTCAGAAAGCTTCTAGTGTGTGGGCTGCTTCTTTATTTGCTCTTCTCTTTTTTGAAGTTTTTCACTTTTCGAAAGTGTTTGTCTTTTTCTCTGATTTTTCGCGTGGTCTTCTTCTTATTATTTGTGTCATCATAGAACTGCCAGACTGTCGCATGCCAAATGGCGTACACCAGAACCAAGAACCGACCTCTCAAAGATGGAGCAATGGTAGCACAGCGGAAGACTGAAATACGAACAATCAGACCCAATCAATGTCGGGACACAGAGTGAACATCATCATCATCATCATCACATGGTGTGAGTGGGCTGGCGCTGAACACAGAGACGAAGGGCGCCAGGCACATATCATAGACAGATGAAGAGGAGGGAGGAGAGACAAAGAGGGAGGATATGCAGGGAGGAGAGACAAAGGGGGAGGAGATGCAAATGTCGTCAACCCAAAATGTTGTCGATACTGATCCAAAATAGTCCCCCACAATGTCTCTGACTCTCTGCCCCAATGTCAAGTCTGAATCCAAATGTCACCAAATCCAATGTCACAAACCCCTCTCTCTCTCTCTCTCTCTCTCTCTCTCTCTCTCTCTCTCTCTCTCTCTCTCTCTCTCT